GCAGTGTTTGACTATGCATATTAAATATGATTTTTTTTTCTTTTTTTTTTTGGAATGTTTTTAAACTCTGCACAGTGGAGTGTTGGTTCAGGGCCAAAGGTCACGGCGTGGATCAGTGTTAGTTAGTTAGTTAGTTAGTTAGTTAGTTAGTTAGTAGTTGGTTAGATCAGACAGAAACATTTGACTTGTCCATAGTTTTTCTCACTGCACCACTGTACAGTTCAGTGTCACTGCAAACCAAAAATGACGGACCAAAGATGTTTGATCTGTGTGTGTGTGTGTGTGTGTGTGTGTGTGTGTGAGGATTTGGACCAATGATTGATCGTTACAGTTCATCTCCAGTCATTGGTCGTTGTTAGTATTGATCGCACCAGCGTTTCCAGGTTTTTTTAAACTCAAATGAACAAAAACCCTGCACTGAACAAAAATGAAATTGAATGATTTTCTGGACCTGTTTAGTTGAACACATCGTGGATGCATTCGCAGGAATTGAAAAAAAAAAAAAAAAAGCACATGAAGATCTTCAGCTCTGAGTCTGTTTACTTTTAGCATTATGGCTATCTGCTGCCACCTAGTGGAATAGTACTTAACTCTTCAGGCCAATTAAGTGAAATCTGAAAACCTGGTGATCGGACGTGGCACTCTAATGGGCCGCGGCCCAGTGGTTGGGAATCTTCAGCTTACAGATCAACTGTGAGGTCTTAATCGGTGTCGACCTCTGCTCACCGCTGCCTCTGGTGTTTGGTTTAAAACACCTGGTGCTGACGTTTGGACAAACAGACATTTCCAGGCTCCGCCCACAGAACTGGGCCGTGAACCAACAGAGTTCAGGCCACAAACTGGAAAAATACAAACTTTTCAGTCTTTTTTTCTGGTCTTTGAAAAACAAACTCGTTTTCCGTGTGTTCCTGTGGACCTCCAGGAACCGACCGGCTGACCGACCGACCGACCGACCGACCGGTGCAGCGTTTCCTCTGATGTCTGTGTTGAACTGATGGACTTTGATGTTTCCGCCTCGTCTTCTAATCATTTTCATTGCTGTACAATCACATTTTTACAACAATCATCTCATGTCAGTTCAGTTTCTGTTTCCCGGCCGACTCCACCGTAACCAAATGTTTGTTCAAATATAATATAAATAAATTCAGCTAGTGTGAAGTATATTGACGGAGAGTTTTTCGCTCCTTTACATTCACTTCAAACGTACGTGTTAGCCTGACGTTGACGTCAAAACTGTTTTATTTTGCTAACGCTAACGTCTGTCTCACCGCAGCATCAAAGTCATTCATCAGGTTTTTACCCCCCTGCCCCCCAACCATCACTGAGGCTTCAAAACTGAAGTAAACAAACAACAACAACATAAACATATAGAAACTACATTTATTTCTTCAGAACATCGTCCATCATTACACCACACTTATATACAACTCTTTAACTTTTGTTGCGAAACATTGACAATCCATAACTGTGATAATGAAGAATATTTCAACTATTCACACGTAGAACGTCCGACACCCACGTGGTTCATATTTCACTCTATCAAAGTGCATGCAGCTGGTGATTAGTTTGGGTTTTTTTAATCTAAATACTTCAAACCTGCAACAGTTCATCCAAATAAATACTACAGTATAAATACTTTACATCATTTACATGGGAAAACAAAAGGGCTTCAGAGTGACTCATCAATGACATCATCGCTGATGTCACTCTGACGTGTTCGAAACCGCAGTGAGAAGATCATCGCTGATGTCACTCTGACGTGTTTGAAACCACCGCAGTGAGAAGACCAGGAAATATACCAGGAAACATCCAGTTACCAGTGTCAAACCAGCTCCATTTTCACTCCACACTGTGGCGCTGTTTCCTCTCGTGTTATTTTACCCATTCTTAATTATTATTATTATTTTATAATATCAGTGTATTTGTTTATATCTATGTTTTTGATGTTTAGATGGGGGTTAATTTAATTGATTAATAGTATTTTTCTGGAGTAATTAATTAATTGTTAATTAGTTCAATCGACACGAGTGAAGTTGATGAACAGATTAGACTGGTATCCTGGAGCCCCACGGTATATAAATGTGTGTGTGTGTGTGTGTGTGTGTTATCTGCGGACCCACAGCCAGGTGTTGAGCAGACATGCAGAAACGATCACAGAGAAGAGGATGACTTCGGTGCTCCTCCGCTCCGTGTTGTTCTTCTCCAGCGCTGCCAGCCGACGGTTCATCTTCATCACCTGCAGGGGGAGACGGTCGGTGACTGTGGACAAAGAACAAGAACCGTCCCCTCCCTCGAGGTCCTACCTGTCTCCTGAGGATGATGAACTCCACTGCAGCTCCTCCCCCGTCCTCCACTGGACTCCAGGTGTCCATCACTCTGACCACACATGGACAGTTACAGTTAGTAACACTGACCTAACCACCTCTGCAGCACAGACCAACCACTGACCGGGGTCAGAGATGAACGACTGACACGGTGGTTGACCCCTCACCTCCCCCCCGCTCTACCTCCCCCCACACTTTAGGCTCTGATGTCCAGACTCTGCCCCCCCATGTCACTGTTTGGGTACTGCAGGTGATGACAGTGATGACGTCATCAGTGCGACTCACTCGTTGTTCTCCAGGTCAGCTGACGCAGGAACCTTCGGTCGGGTTCTTCCTGGATGAAACGGCTTCTCTTTGTGTCCAAATCTTTCCTCCAACAAAGACAGAAAAACAAACCCGTGGTCTGAGGACAGGTGACGGACGACCACAACAAACAAACAAACAAACAAAACCGTTCTGACAACCAAGGTGAAGCAGAGCAGAGGTCACGACCCTGCAGCACTGACCCACACACTGGTCACATGACACAAACAGAGCAAGGCAGGGTGGGTATTAGTTATCAGCCACTGGTTAGTTGGTTCAGCTGGTTAACTTCTCACTCAGACGGACGCAGCCTTCACTGGACGACTCACACCTGTATTTCTGAGCCATCATCTGCAGGAGGCGCTCTGATGCTCTTCGGCCCAGCTGCTTGGCAGCCGTCACCACATGGTGAAAGGACAGGGAGCTGAGGGGGGGGGCGGGGGCGGGCGGAGTCTGGGTCTGAGGGCGGCTGCTGGTCTGGGGACGGACGAGGACGAGACCTGAACCACTGCTACAGAGGAGGAGGAGGAGGAGAACATGAACAGAGGGGGGGGGGGGAGGGGAGGGGGGGGGAAGTTCTAAGACCACCAGTCCGACCATTCTGACCCACACAGACCTACTCCAAGTACTGCCACTTGTACACGCACCATAGTTTCAGAACCCAAACTTAAATCCAGGAGACCCTGCTGTACTTACGGGTTGGACGGAGCTCTGGGAACCAGCAGCGCCTGCTTCAGAGGAGACGGAGCGTCGGGCGGAGTTCTGCTGAAGTTCTGGTCACTGAACGACCGCCGCATCGGACTCTGTCGCAGGTGAAGAACAGAAACAGACACACAGCTGTCACTTCAGCCTGTGGATGTAGAAGGAGACGTTCTCCTGGAGAAGTTTGACCGTTTGTTCCAGGTCACGACCTCTTCAGTCACATGGTGTGTGATGTGATGTCAAAGCTCTGGTTCTGTGGATCTTACCGGCAGCGCTTCTATGCAGAACATCTCTCCAGAACCGCCTTCCCAGCACGGGTCCAGACTCATGGTACCACAGATCATGGTCCTGGCTTGGTTAAACATCGGACTGGGGCTCATGTCGGGGGCTTCTGTGGGTGAGACACAGGAAATGACACAAACCACAGTTTGAACCCAGGCTGCAGCCACAGGTGAACAGCAGTGTGTGGTGTCCACCCACCTGTGTATGTCAGCCTATCAGGGACCTGCATGGTGAAAAGTGATGGGACGTTGTCTCCGTCCTCCTCCCTCTGCCAGTGCTGCCTGGGGCTGACGCCCAGGCGCTCTGGGACACGCATGCTGTGACTGAGGACGTCCATGAGGGCGAGGTGACGGACTACACTCTGCTCAGAAACCTGCAGGTGAAAACACACCAGGCGTGAGTGTAGTCTGAGAGACAAACACAGTTGGATGATTTTCACCAGAGCAAGAAAAGTTTGTTGTTTTGTGTTGATTTATTTCTTATTTTTATTTTCATGTTTCTGTCCTTCAGTCCCACGGTCAGTGTTTTAAATTTAATTTCTACATTAAGGCACACAGGTAAACTGATCACTGATCACCTGGAACATGTGACTATCAGACTATCAGACATATGGACCAATTAAACCATCAGTGTTTTTCAGCACCCCCACCCCCCCCCCCCCCCCCCCCCCCCCCCCCCCCGTGTGGATTATTGGACACAGCAGTTTGTTCTCCCACCTCTTCAACTGTATGAACCACTACGACCCATCGTCTGTTTGTCTCAACTCGTGCCTGCATCAATCCTGTTGTTGCAGCTCCGTCTGCTCCTCCGTCCTGACTAAGACTTCAGATCAAAGTCACCAAGAAGTTGACTCAGAGATGAGGTAAGTTCTCCACCAGTGGGTGTCATCTCCAAAGAACCTTTGTTCAACTTCAATAACCTCAAACTAATAACCGTAATGTTATTAATGTCAACTTATATCATTACAGCAACAGTATCGTCAGTTTTTTTGGTAAATATTATGAAATACTACATTTTTACGACAATTTCTAGTTTTGAAGATTTAAACAGCTGTTTGAAGGACAAGTAAACGTCGCCCTCCGTAGCTCCGGTAACCAGAGCAACACTTTTGGCCCAAACGTCACGGCATGTGTCGCTCGCAAGCTGACGTCAAGTCAGGTGACGGTGAAAGGTCGATGACGAATGAGGTCAAAGTTGCGAAGCAGAAAATCGTTAAATGACAAAATAAGAGAAGAAAAACAAACCTTATTTTTTAAAAGTCACTGAATCGCAACTTCTTCCACCGACTCTTCTTCTTCGTTCGCTCTCGTCTCTCAGTACATAAGAGTTTTCAACATACCGATACATCACTGCCCTCTGCTGGTGAGGAGTAGGAACAGCACTCCATTAAATATAGGAAAAAATAGAATCAAAATAGGTGTTGATTTCCAAGTACATTTACACAAACTGAATTTGTCCTATTTTAATGGTGCATTATAATAAAAAATGAAGGTTTTACTGGTTGGTTATGTGTCACATTTTTAAACATTTAATAACCAAAACAAACTGAATTTGTCCTATTTTAATGGAGCATAGTTTTACTGCTTGGTTATGTCCCAATTTTTTAAACATTTATTAACCAAAAACACATTAGTATTTTTGGCTGTTTTTGCTGCATGCTGTGTCACATGTCTGTGTGAATGAAACCTGGCTGCAACATGACAAATTAACTTAAAACCAAAATATTAAAACCAAATAAAGAACAATGATTGGTTGATTTTAATAGACACATTGAGGTACATTAAAAACCACAGTGCACGTATGTTGGTGGAAAGAAGTCACTTTTATATGAATTTCACAGGATTAAATAGTTTTTTTTTACATTTTTGTTTTCTTTTGCTGTACAGTGGAAAACAGCGGCCTGTGGAACAGTGACAGGCCGTGTAGGAAAAGGCAGTGAACGACTTCAAGAACAGAATAGAAAAATAAGCCACTGGTGAAGAGTGAACGTTACCTTCGCTACAACAATATCAAACACTGTAAACACCTCCGTCTGTAGGACAGAAAAACCACACCTGTTCAAACTGCTGCCTTCAGATCATTGGTCCACGGTCACATGTGGCGTGTAACGGGTCACATGACTCATTTTGTAAATGTGTTCAGGTCCAGTTTGGACATTAACGTTCTCGCTAAATATGAGGGTATGACCTTTGACCCTGAACATTGTCTGGAGACACTAGAAGATTGTCAGTGTGAGACAGCAGCAGCAGCAGCGCCCCCTGTGGATGAACCAGAGCGTTCCCTGGAATTTCTCCTGCTGTGTTCTCTGAGCTGGGCTGGAGAATTTCCAGAGAACATCTGGAGCCACGTCTGCAGACGTTCACTGAACAGGTGTGAACGGAATCCACACGTTCTGACGTTAATGTAGAGTTTCTCAGTTTAAAGGTAGAGAATCAGACAGTGACTGCAGTGAACGAGGCTCCACATACACAGCTTTAACACCAGCAGTGACTACGTCAGTGATATTTAACCCTCGTCTAAATCTTAATGTGTCGAAGCGTTGGTTCTGGGTCCATCGACTGGACTCTGACGCTGATGTTTAGGTCCATTGTCTCGACTTCTGAATCCCAGGCAGTAATAATCAAACTGTGATGGACGACATTATAAACTCATCAACCTGTGACGGCCCCCTATAATACCATAATAACTGTAATAAAACAAATGAGTCGTTAACAGAATCTGAGTCGACAGAATTGAACCAGCAGTCGCCTGGTCTCCTGGTGCTTTGATTGTGTTCGATCTCATCAGAGAACATCAGAGAACATCAGAGAACACAGAGAACACGACAGAGCTGCTGGACGACCGAGCCGCGATTGTAAACACACGTGCTGTAAAAGTGTGTATATGTACAGTACACAATACAGGTGCATTCAAATACTGAGAAAATACTAGAAACACGTTTAAAGATGGAAACCAAATATCAATACTTCAGAGTCAACACTGGAACTGGGTCAGAAAAATCTGTAAAGAAGAGAAAGAAAAGCTCAGTCTTTTCAGTTTGAGCTGCAGCAGAACTGATGAACCACAGTCTGGATCAACCCTCGTCTTCATGGTACACGTCTTAGTGAAATGTAAAATAATCATAGAAAAAGGAGTGCTTCCCAGACTTGTCCAGCGCCCCCTTGTGGTACATAATCTATTGACACGTTAATAGTTTTTGTCATTGAACAAATAAATCCAAAAACAAACCAGTGCTGTTTCCTCTCTCTCTCTCTCTCTCTCTCACCCCTGCAGTAACTCCACACCTCCTGGTGGCCCCGCCCCCTACTTTAGGAAACACTGATATAAAGCATCTCTGGAAAACTACTTAGAGGAGCAGCAGGTGAGTACATTTTGTGACTCTTATAATAATAATAATCTCATTTTAAATTTATATCAGTAATAATAATAATAATCTCATTTTAATTTTATATCAGAACTTTTAAAGGCAGTGAAATCCTCAATAAAATCTTTAGACATTAGTGACACCTGGGACACTGATTTGAACTGTTCTAACTAGAAATTATAAAAAAAAACCATCCTGTATTTGTTCATATACTAGTTGTTTTGAAGAAATATACAAATGAATTCTGTGGCTGATTGGCAGCAAGAAAAGTACCAGGTGTCATTACCAGGTGTCAGACGGTACTGATTAAACACAGTGAACAGCGCTTGGTCCACACACACACACACACACTGATTCATATATCTAGTACTGAACGAAGCACATTTGGCAACAAATAAAGTCCCGTCCGTTTGGCACCGAGCTGCAGAAGTTCTGACTGGAGACACTGGACTTCACTGCCGTTTGAAGGTGAATAAAAAGGCGGCAGTGACATCACAGGGCGTGGCACCCACAGGTTGGTGCAGGCAGTGATCCCGTGAGAGCAGGGACGTGTCCACGTCCACGCTCTGAGGATCACAGTGAGGACGAGGAGCACAGAGACACAGATCAGAGTGAAGCAGAGCACATGTTTTTGGCAGTGAAACGTTATCTATGAGAAAAGATCCCAGAGGCACCTGTACAGATGATGACATCACAACCACCATACCAACACTTGGTGACATATTTAGGATAGAAGATGAATGTAAACAAAAGTGGGGAATCCCTTTGATCTCATGTGTACGGGCTGTGATTGACTGTGTGGCATTTTAGGTCTGGGATGTAAGAAAATCTCCATCCACTGAATATATCACAATATCTCCTCTCCTGATCCCGTATCAATCTCCTCAGTCATTGATCAGTTCTTGATTTTAACTGGTGATTCCAAATGTAGATCCCTCTGTTCCAGAGTTAGGAACTGATGTTCAGATGGAACAGAGTCTGAGACTAGGATCACACTGGGACTAAAAAAAAACCCTCAATATATCAGCGTGACTATAGTATCACAAAATATCGCGACATATCGTATTGTTGCCCCTGTATCTTGATACGTATGGTATCGTCGGATTGTTGCCAAAACACATCCCTTATTTTAAGTTCAGGTTACATTTTATAATCAATTAAATTTAAAATGTTGTACTGCCTCCCTGGATGTCTCCCCCTAGTGTCGTCATGGGAGTGCAATTAAGGGTGGAACTACCCAATCAGGGAGGGGGGGGTCATCATAATCACCCCCTTTATGTGACAACATAAAGTGGGTGACGTTTTTGGAGCCAAATTCCCAGAACCTGAAAAAGTCCATGTTGTTGAAGATCAAAGTGATGAAGTGACGTTTGTTCAGAGTGAACATCGCTGGACGACAACGACCTACTGTGGGTGTGCTCAACACGTGGCTCCAGCCCCTCATTTCTCCTTTATTATCTCCTCGTACTTGGGTGGAGGGTCACTGTATGACGGAGCCGCGGTCTCGTCTCCACTGCTCTCCAGGTGTCCCGTCACCTCTTCATACGACGGAGGAGGTGTGGCTCCAGACAGCCGGGAGGCCACGGAGAAGGAGGAGTCCTGGACGTACAGGGAGCGGGTGTTGTGCTGGTGAAGGCCGTGTGAGTCCAACCCTCCCCCTCTGCCCCCCTCTCTCCCTGCTTCTCCCCTCTCGGCGCCGCTCACTATGACGGTGGGGTGTGAGTTGGACTCCTGGTGGGGGCTGTCGTGTGCCACCGTTTCCCGGTAGACCAGGATCCTCGGCAGGCTGCGAGTGCTGCGGTTGTTGGCCAGGTATCGGTTCTGGGTGTAGGCGGGCCTCCGCCGCGTGGCCTTCTGAAGCTGGCACCTCCACAGGAGGAAGAGGCCGATGATGATGAGCAGGGCCACGCCCAACAGAGGAACCACCATGTAGACGGTGTCGGCGCGCTCAGATCGCCCGTCACTGTTGCTGCTCACGGTGTAGGAACCACGACTTTTCCAAAACTCCATCTGTGGGCGGAGACATTCCACAGGTTTCCAAGGGCATGAAGGACATTCGTTTACATTTCTAAAAAACCTAAAGTCTGTAAAGCAGCTGTAAAAAAAACTGAAGGCTCTAAAGAAAACAAGGGGGAATAAGACCCAGAAATGTTTACTTTAAGTAGTACTGCAGTAATGTCTAAGAGCAGATATTTAAACCAGGACACAGTATTTTTGTCAGCGCTCAGGGGAAATGACTGTATTTGTTCTTCAGCTCGAGGTGTTCCAGTGGATTCCAGAGACCCAGTTTAATTTATTCATCAGTTCCCTTCACCTTCATCTGGTCACCACTGCGCCTCTACGGCCACATTATTCTGATTATCTCACAACAACAGACCATAAAGTCAGAGTGGACCCACGGAGACCACCCCACGACTCAGGCCATAAAATCCCAGCTCACCGTTCGCTCTTTGTTCTCGAACACCTCATTGGCTTCTTCAAAACTGCAGCTCTCCTCGACACACTCCCGTTCGATGTTCCCCTGTCGCAGCTCCTCCATGTAGCCATTGGCTCGAGGGAATCGTTTCAGGAGGGAGTGAGCATCCTTAAAAGTCAGGAATGCTGCAACACAGGAATGAACTCGTCAATCACCTGGACTCACACACACAAAACCCCACTTTAAAGTTGTGTGTTTCCCTCACCTACAGCCATGCTTCTTCCCTGTTATTCACACACTGACCAGGAACGAACCTGCAGCATCAAAACAACACGTGAGACACTGTGACGTGGACACACACTGGACCACATCGGGGGTGGAGTATGTTCAAATAACAGAATTACACACGTGTAAATACAACGGTGCTGTAATATTAATATTTATAATAAATTACAGATTCATTACTTTCAATCCATGGCTCCAAGATTTGACCAGGCTACGCTAGTGCTTCCTACCCCAGTTACAAATGAGAGGAAAACAGGAAAATGTAGCTCAGGCCTGGTGTCTCTGCTGAGGAGGAAACCCTTCATAAATGACGTATGGAATTCATTTAATATTCTGCACACGCCACTTTTATTTCATTTTATGTTTTCATTTTTTTCCCCATGTGTTTTTTCAGATACATTTTTTCCCTAAACGTGAAAATAGAGCAGCAAATGTATAAAACAGGAGTGGAGTTGATTGGTTTGTAAGTCTGGAAATGTTTCCAAAATATAAAAATAACACAGGAAACCTATAGGCTACTATAAATATAGAAGGAGGAGGGGGGGGGGCGGCTGCCATAGCAACATGGACAAAGAAATGGGAGGCTCAGGATGTATTTTATTATTTATTTTATATGTGTGTTTTGTTTAAGGTCAGTGTAAAGTTTGTCAGAATAAATGTTCTACAGAGGGGCGGATGTTCTAACGGATATTTTTAAAATGTCTGACATACTGTACATGGACACGCATTATTCAGCACGTAGCGTTCTGTGCCACTCTAAGTAATAGCACTAAGAAAAAGTACTGGGGAAAAAAACCCCACAAGGTCGTGTTTTAATAAACTCTAACGGAGACCGTTAGCAGATTAGCAACGTGTTGTGATGCTTTTATAACAGCATATGAAAAATTAATAATCACGACAGTTAATGTTCCTTTTCAGCCTTAAGAGTCGCCATTTTGAAAACAGTATAAAGAGCTGTGTTAAGGCATGTACATTTCCCTTTCAGAGAGAGGGGAGATAAAAATAATATACATTTTGAAAAAATCGTTCCTACCTTCATTGCGCTTGATAAAAAACCTTTCCCCTTCCATCCTGGACTCCAGGGAACTCCCACACGAGTCACTGCACTGAGAGTGAGTCACGTAGACTACAGCCAATTGAAAACGAAAATTCTCGGTAACTGACCAATCACGGCCACAACTGATGTCACTGCTGGGAGGAAGGGCGGGACTTCCACATAGCGTTTTTGTTTGTTTTTTATTATAAAAGACCGTGAAACGCGAATAAAAAGTGAAAGTGCCCATGTATAATAAAAGACTAATATAGTAACCTATTAAATAAAATTATACATTACTTCTCAATTGACAACTGTGCAACAAAATGTATTTAGTGGTGGTTTATATATACTCGATGTTTCAAACTGTTGATTTTTATCACATCAAAATGAGTTTCTTCTGAGAAGCTAAAAATTCTGCTGCTTATTTAATGGCTGGTCAATGTTTCCTTAAACCGTATTTTAATATTAACGCTCATTTATATTTGTAACAAAAATAATTAATTCCTATAGAGCTAGCTATAATGGAGTATCACGTTTGTACAGTAGCTTACAGTGGTCAAAACCAAACAACTGCTTTTGTGGCACGAGGCCTATCACGTTAGATGAATATTCAGAAGACAAATTTAGATATTTGTACACATAAATACACCTTTACAGTTTTTACAGTTTTATGTAGATTTAATGTCAATTGTATTTTAAGTTGTTGTTTATGTTCATTTTCAGATTCGTGAGCTTCCTCGTCACTGCTGAAGAAAACTATTCATCTGCTGGTATTCCTCCTTCTCCTGGACTGAAAGTCTCTCTCTCCATACGCCCTGTCTTATCCCCTGTCCTGGTCCCTGTCCACTTCAGATCTATCTCTGTTGACTTTCATCTGACTCGAAGCCAAACAGTGGATAAACACCAAAAGGATTTCAGGAGACAGTGAGGCCGCTATCAGAGTGAGTACGTTTACATTTTCATTTATTTCTTCACCAATACTTCTTCAGTAAACAATATAAAAATAAATCATTTTAATATGTCTATGTACAAGGTATGTACAATATATAAGTTATAAATGAGTGTAGATCACCGTCTGTACAACGTGGCGAGGATCGGACCCTGAGATTCTCCCAAATGTGGGACATACATTTGACATCTTGGCTCAACAGTCGCACTAATATCCACATGGAAAACAACAACAACAACAACACACTTAGAATGTGCAACACATGCAGAATATGAAATGGATTTAACTCCAGAGGCAGAAACTGAAGAGACAGAACTGTAAGAAGAACCGTGCTGTAGATTTATAATCAAAGGAAAGCCCAGTTCTCGTGGTTCTTAACACTGGTTCACGTCAACATGTGGGTCGGAACATTCTTCATCGTTGGCCTCGTTGGTAGCATCTCCTGAGGCCTCAGTCAGGCGTTGAAAAAGTTAGGTTTGTGAGGACAAATTCTTCAGACTAAAGTCATCTCTCCAGCACTTTCACAGAAAGTCGTGGAGACGTTCCGTCCATCAGTTGTAGTGTGTGAAATACGACTGTGGTTTCAGGCGTGGCTCAGAGTCGTCCTCCTCTTCCCAGTCCTCCTCTTCGTCGTCATCATCATCATCATCGTCATCATCACAGTCAGACTCCTCATAGAAGTTGATCGTTGCCTGAACAGGGAAGTTCCTCAGCAGAGCCTCTCCATCACTGTACAGATAGTCAAAGGACTTCTTCTTGGGCCAAAACAGCCTGTTTCAAAGAGAGAACACGACGTCATGTTAACAAACAAACACCACTGAACATCAGAGAATCAACGGATTTGTGCAAATCTGTGATGTCATTAGAGAGAAAAAACAAACAAATATGGATGCTAACCTGACAGGGTGCTGGAAAGACTGGACTTTTCCAGGTGTCAAACTCCCTGGTACTGAAGCTCTGGAGTAAGGCTGTGGGGTAGAGAAACAAAAGGATCTAAGTACGGAGTTTACCAGTGTGTATGTTCTGTCAGACTAGAACAGGTCGTTGAAGAACTTACACAGGACAGCCTTCTGTGACGACACTGTTCTGGAGAGTTCATCCACGGCCGCCACAGTGACCTCTGACTGCAATGAAAGAGAACAGCAAACAAATCAGTCAATAAACAAACTCACTCTGCTGTAGAAACACTGTTCAGTGAACAACACGAGGGGGCGCTATAGCCCCAGCTACAGTTTACCTCCACTACCAACTCAATCATGTCTGCAGGAACTAAGATTCCTTCTACTGACTCTGAATGAAGTCATTTTTGAATAAATATTATGCTCTTCTTACAGGTAGCAAGTATTACTACGATACTTTTTAAACAACAAGGTACAGACGAATGTGATATACTGCAGTAGTTGCACGAAATGTCTAAGCTTTGTAAATATTTCTAAAAAACAAAATACTACGACAGTCTTTAGCTTCTGAAAACACTATTATACATTTAAGCTAAAAAATAAAAACCAAGAGTTTACACAAGTCGATTAACGTCCTCAATTAAAAAAACGAATCGTTTGTTTCAACAACTACGGGCTTAGCCAGCCGGTTAGCCTTCTAGCTGGTTATTACCATCGCTAACCTAGTTCACTACTTCTTCAAAGCCTAACATTTGATAAGCGCATTCTAACATATTTTCAAATTAAAAAAAGTGAACAAACGTTTAAAATTTGTAAAACACGGAGTTTCGTCACAGCGGGACCTACCTGCTGCTTGTGTCCGAGCGGCTGCTCACTGCCTGCGGACACGGCCGCAGCACTGCCCCCAGAGACGGCTGCTGGACGAGCACACACGCCGAACTCATTCTGCCACAAAAGTACGGTAAAGTATAGAAAAAACAACAACGAGTGTTTCAGAAGAGAAGACAAACGTCCTGGGGTTTAACAAGGACCGAGCAGAAGTCCGAGGTCTGTGTGTGGAGGAGTGTAGCGATGGCGGAGGTGTCGGAGGTTTATAAAGCAGAGGTGCTCAGAGGCTCAGAGGGGGGTCCTATTCGGGGGGGGTGGAGGAGGAGCCGCAGCCCCCCCCCCCCCGCTGTTCGTCTTAACGTACGGCAGGAGCCCAGAGTGGTTGGAAAATTACTATTATTGAATTACGATTATTGAAGTCCACGTTTATAAACGACACAGTGTGGCCTGAAGGCGGTGTTATTACTAAACTACTGAACTCTTTATTTGTTGTTATTGTCACAATACTCCAACGAGCAGAAGCCACATTAGCATGCGTGTTATTTCCTATCTTTTGCCAATTTTCTGCCAATCTTTTGTGGCACCGACTATTTCAAGCCAACAATTTAATTAGGTGATTTGTTGATGTTGCTCAAAACACGCCCCCCCTCGGCCTAATGTGTTTATACATTCATACAAAGTCTGCTTCAAGTCAGATTACTTTTGTTTTGTCACTGTGACATCCTATTTAAAGTGTTTTTTGTTTTTTAAAATTATAAACATATTTAAATCTTCATTGATTGATTGATTATTTGTATAAAGAAAACAGTTCACATTTCTGATATTATCTATTGTGAAGTGGTTTGTGGGGGTTTAACCATAGTTTGAAGGTGTTCCATCAGAAAGTTGTTTTGATTAAAGACACGTTCACTGAAGTCAACAGAAGAATGAATCTCCTTTCTTTTCTCTTCAGTCTTGCACTTTGATGACGGTCCCTACACTCTCGTTCCCTCAGTCTGAATAATAAAATCACCAAACCGGTCATTTTTAAAGCCGCGGCGCTGGTTTGAGTTTAATCTCCAGACCTGACCTTTACACCGAGGTGCCGCAGAAACCTGACCTGGCTGATGGACCTCTGTTTGTGGAGCTGAATTCCTCTTGTTTGCTGCCTTATCGGCCCATTTGTGCCTTTTGCGCCCATGTGTGACCCAGGGTCTCAGCGGGCGTCACGTGGTCCCCGCTGGCCCCCGACAGCTTAGTTTGTCCCGCATTGAGAAGTCCATTAAGGACCATTAGCGGCCATTAGAGCAGACGACCAGTGAGGATTCTCACACCTGGAACGGGCTGCACACACACGTCCGTCTGAGCGGGGGTTAAAACGCATGCGCTGAAAACAAGAACAACATGATTTAAATGACGACGGTCGTGAAACGAAGGGGTGAAATGATGCTTAGTGTCAGGTTTCCCATCAAAATGGTGAGTTAGAATAAAATATTTAACAGGAGGGCCGTTTGTTTCAGAATAAAAAATCAGTAAATGTTTAAACAGCTTTCATTGACTGAAACCGGCTCGTTCTGGATTTTTCTAGAAATTAAAAAACACTTTTTTATCCTTTAAGATTTTTAAATGAGGAAATGTTCTTTTCCCTCAGTGACAGTGAACTGAATGACTTCTTATTGGTTTAAGACACATTTATTTTTGATATTTTTTGGACTAAATGACCAGTAGAACAATATGAATATAAATGAATTTTAACAGTTAAATCTACTGTAAACAGACAATTGAACCACAGGGAGGTTTGACAAGGACACATTCACCAAGTAAATACATTTAGTAACTTCTTAAATGAACAAGTAGTAAAACTTTTAAAGTGTTTTATTGTTGTTGTTTTTTTGTGTGTCAGTGTTTCCAGTTTCAGTCCTGAGTCTGTGGAGCCACAGACGGAGGATTTAAAGATCACGACGACCCTGGGTCAGTGACTCTTACCTGCTATCACTGTTTGAATTAAACAATGTGTGTGTGTGTGTGTGTGACTGAGTGATGAACAGCCTCTTGTGTAAACAGGCCGGCACCGCAGGCAGTGAGAAATGTCGAGCCACCAGGTTGTCTGTGAAAACAGTGAGGAGAAAAGTTAGACGCCATCTGTGAGAAGGGCAGCAGGAGGCAGCAGTAAACTAATTAAGAGCCTGAAATTAGATTGAGATTAGAAAAACACACACGTGCTACGAGCCCAGAGCAGGGGTTCAGATGGACGGAGCGGCTGCATTTATAACATCTGAGTTTTCAGTTCAGAACTTTGGGTCAAATTATGTTAAAATTATACAGAGAGTCTGAGCTGGACACGGAGAGAGGCTTCAAGAAACAACTGTGACGCTCAGGAACAACAGGACGGATGGACGAATGGATGGATGGATGGACGGATGGATGTGTTTGGTCACAGGAAGGACAGAGCGCCTCCATGTGGACGTCTGTTTGTTAAACCATCTGTGACTCCAAGGTCAGAAACACAGATCATCCTGCAGTTCTGTTTCAAAGATGGTTTTATCTTCAGACTGATCACACCCTAGTGCTAACTGTTAGCCCAGGGCTAACTGTTAGCCCAGTGCTAACTGTTAGCCCAGGGCTAACATTAGCTGCTCATTAAACTCCAGCCGGTCTAAGGTTTTACTGCATAAACATCAAATCATGAGTGAATTAAATACAACTTTATTCAAAAAAAACAACTTTGACACAATAATAAAACAATGTTGTTGTTATTGTGTTTCCAACAACAACTTCATATATAATACTTCACTTTTCTCCACTTCCCCCCCACCTCACCTCACCCCTCATGGTCCCAGGTCGTGACCACTCTTTGACTCTGCACCAAATTGGACAACAGCAAAAGTTTGTCCACTCGTCCAAATGTCCTGCCGTCCACAGTGGAGCCCTGGCCAAAAACAGAAGGAACGGCAAATTGTTGCCCCCTCCTTGTGTGTGTGTGTGAGTGTGAGGGGGGGTGCTGGGAGGGGGGGCCTCCCCCACTGTTTTCACATTTGCTGACAGACAGTCAGGACCTCTTCCCCTATGCTGAGTGAGGAATGCTGCTAATCAGTGACCAACTGCTCTTATCTGTGGAGAGGAGCTGATCTGGAAGACAAATAAAAATCTCAAACCTCTGAAGAGAAACGTTGGCCCCACAATTATTTGAAATCATTTGAATTATTTCAAATTTTACTTCACCTGAATCCCAAATATGGGTTAGGGTTAGGTCCACTTTGATGCATTATATACTTTTTTCTCCATTTTCAGTATTTAAATATTTATAATGTTCTGATGTGATGTCCAGTAGAACACTGACTTGGTGTAGATGTTTTCAGGAGTTATTTCACCTCTGACATGGAATGTCCACAGTATAGAATGCAAATGACTGCAACCACTAGAGGTAATTGTGGCGCTGGAATCGACTGTTTGAACAAAAGTGTGACTCTTTTGTGACGTGGACTTGTCTTTGACACGTGAGTGTCAGAAGAAAACTCTGTGTCAAGGTGTCAAGGACAAATGGCAAAACACCGAACCTCAGCACAGAGTCACGAAGCGGACGTTTCTGTAGAAATGACTGTAAAAGTCCACCTTCAACACGACGACGTTCACACATTCATTCATTAAAAAAAAAGAACTCCAGGAAACGTGAACCGTCTGTTTTGATTGGACTGTTAGAACAAAAGGACGGAAGTCAACACAGGTTAAAAAAAAAAAAAAAAGACTTTACCAAATTTACCAGGGACAGATACAGTTCATTTTATTATGACTATATTGAGTGATTTAGTGTGGTTATTATTTCCGGGTCCTACAACAATAACAGTGACGTGGTGAATGAATGCTGTTTGTATGTTTTACTCCTCCTAAATTATGAAGCAAATAAAGGTTGTAAATCCTACTTAAACAAGAGGGATAGATATAAAAATAAGATAAGTGTATGTTTAAAATAAAAAAAGAATAATTGAAAGCATGTAAATGTAGTTAATTCTATTTCCTTACTCAGTTCAGACAGATACTACGTTGCTTAGTAATCATTTCTATTGGATAAGAAACCTCGAACTTTACTTTGTCTCTGCTCTGACCTTTATGCATTTAAATGCAATATAAAATAACAAAAGAGAAGAAGAAGAAAAAATATATATAAAGTGTAAAACCTGAGCTCAAACAACAGACTATAAACCTGAGCATTAGGATATTAAACATGATGTAAAACAGGAAGTACATAAGTTTGTAAAAAAAACAAAACAACAACTTTGAAGTTCGACGTTTGTAGTTCGTAAAATGATTTAATTAAAAACTTTTATTGTTTTCAAAGAAATCTTCCACAGCGTGCCTTCTACTCATTTCTCTGTCGCAGCGCGCCCTCCTGTGGACAAACGACGAGTAGCTACGATGTCACGGCGTTTCGTTTTTTACGACAGTTCAGGTCGGAATGCGGCTCAGAATGCCGGTGTGTTTGCGATCCACGGCGTGTGTGTTTTCTGCTCTGGGGTTTATCAGGAGGAGAAGTCATTTGTTCCTCCGTCCTTTAACGGCAGCAGCGCAGTTACACACACAGACAAACGGCTCGTTTAGCCGTGCGTTAAAACCAATCAACGCACCGGAAGTCACCGGCGTGAAGTCTGGGTTCTGGTCTGACGTTGGTGCGTCCACAAGGAACATGTCGTCTTCATCTATGTCTCACAGGATGGTGTGGGTGGACCTGGAGGTAAGTGACCGGAGCGGAGACGATTTATTAATCAGGAACCGCTGCTAATCGTTAGCACAAACACGAGATGACGAAATGTTTGCTAACCTGAGCTATTGCTAAGCTCACGCGGCGGAGACGCAGGTTCGCCCGTGACTACGGTTAGAAAGTTGGCGAATCTGCAGCTGGTGAATCATTGTTACGTTTCATGCTTTCAAATTATGAATGAATTTCAGGGTTTCTGTTAGTGACTTTCCACACTTTCCACACGTTAACTTAATGACCTGAACGTAATCTGTTGACAAAGTTATTCAGGATTTAACCGTACATTTTTGATTTGCTTCATAATAATGTAAACTTTTATTTAAACATGTATTTAAACATAATTATACAGAAATTAAAACATTGTTTTTGTCACTTGTTTCAGATGACGGGTCTGGACATAGAGAAGGACCAGATCATTGAAATGGCCTGTATCATCACAGACTCAGACCTGAACGTTTTGGCTGAGGTGAATAAAAAACCTGGACCGGACCGGACCGGACCGGACCGGACCGCTCTCTTTCGTTGTCTCTGTGAATCAAACCCAACTGTTCTCTTGTTTTAGGGACCGAACTTAATCATTAACCAGCCGGACGAGCTGCTGGACGGGATGTCAGACTGGTGCAAGGAGCATCATGGGAAGGTAAGGAGGAACAATGGATAAAACTACTGTCACTGAGTGGAAAATGTCTCAGTATTAGCACTGATGATGTCATGGTACTGATTTACCTTTGACCTTTGACCTTGACATTCAGCTTCACTTGTCCTGTCTTGTTCCGTGTCTCAGTCAGGACTGACCCAGGCCGTACGGGACAGTAACGTCACCCTGCAACAGGCAGAGTACGAGTTCCTGTCCTTCATCAGACAACACACCCCCCCGGGACAATGTCCACTCGCAGGTAAAGAGTCTCAACATATGGTGCCACGTTAGTTTTCCTGGTGAACGTGTCTCTCTGTCCACACCTTTCATCTACAGTCTCATCATAATCACCCCCCCCCCCCCCATCCTTCTCCTCCCACAGGAAACTCTGTGCACGCAGACAAAAGGTTCCTGGACAAACACATGCCACAGTTCATGTACCACCTGCACTACAGGATAATCGACGTCAGCACCATCAAGGAGCTGTGCAGGTGTGTGCGTGTGTTAGTTGTGTGTGCACATTGTCTGTGTATTTTTTTAAAAAGGGTTTAATTTCATTTCGTTTGGTTTATTTTTTGTTCTGTGCTCTGGTCAGACGCTGGTTTCCAGAAGACTACAAGAAGGCTCCTCTGAAGAGAGCCAGCCACAGGTAGAGTCCAAAAGAACAAAGAGGGTGAGTGAAGGTGAGCAGAGATTTTCACTGTTGTTCCTCGGACTGTTGCAGAGCTCTGGGCGACATCAGGGAGAGCATCAAAGAACTGCAGTTCTACAGAACCAACGTGTTCAGAACGTCAGCAGAGGAGAAGAAACGGAAGATTGTTGAGAACGGAGACAACAGGAGTTAACGCACGGGCGTGTACACACACACACACACACACACACACACACACCCCTGTGACGACAGGTCAGATGTACTGACTGTTCCCAGTTGTCTTTAGGTGAACTGCAGATGAACTGTTAAAACATGTTAAATATTTAAGTTTATGAAGGTCAACACGTCAGTGACCAGAGCTGGTTTGTTTTTTATGATGTGGAAAAGTCTGAGTTTGATTTTGAGTTTTGATTCTTTTTAAAAATGAGTTCAAATAAACTCAGAGATTCCAGAGAAAAATATGTTTTTGATGCTTTAAAATAAACCAAAATATTATTTAAAATTCTCTTCTTCTTTTTCTCTTTGTTTCTCATCAAATTAAAGCATTTTGAGAATTTTTTGAAAAAAACTTTTTTTCACAATACATTTCACTACAATTATTAGAATTCTAACTTAAATACTTTTCCAAATATGGTCAAACAGGTGTTTAAATTTCTCCAAATCCTCTCCATTAAGACGGTCATTTCTTGTTAGCTGCCACCGTTAACACAACAAACACCAAACTAATTAGTGTTGGTAAATGTAAATTAAATACAGACAACACGACTGTGTTTCAGAGATTGTTTATTTTATTTTTACATCCTTTATTTCAGCATCATCACTGCCTGTTTTTTACATTAGTGACACCTGAAGGAACTGATGAAACACTTTGACAGAATTTCCTAAAATCCTAAAATAAATACACCTGTGTACCAGGTTTTACTCCGGTCTACTTCAAAGTGTATGCGCTGTGTTCGTCACTTGTCCTCAGTGACACTGTTCTTTTCTTGTCCCAGTAGTCAGGGTGTTGCTTGGTGAAATTTGGGTCCAGTAGGGGGCGACAGACCATCAAAGGAGTACAGGACAAGAACAAACGTGTGAATCTATTTTAAGAAATGTGTCCCCTCATCACTGAAGGAAAACGTCCGCCTCCTTCAGGACGTCCTTTTTCTGCTGGAAGTAGTCTCTGAACCAGTCGATGTGGTCCTTCTTCTGTTGGACAGTCAGGAAAGGGTTTTTGGAAAGTCCGACCACGACCAGCTCCATGAAGTGTCGCACTGGTCCCTGCCGAGGGAAGCCCTTCTCCAGGTGTTTGTCTAAGAAGATGTGCTCGTGGAAGGGGACGTTGGCTTCCTCCTCCAGACCTGACGTCACAGCAGAGAGATGACGTCAGTCGACGACTCACAACGCTACTGTGTACTGAACATGAGTGCAGCTCCACTCGGAGAATTACCTGCTTCATTGTCGATGGGATACCGCCACATCCGACCGTCCTTCGTCCAGTCGATCATTTCCTGGAGCCCATTGCGAGGCATGTGGTCCACACATGTAGCCAACTCCTGCACAAAGTCTATGTCCCATAAGGTTGGCGGGGCTGAAAACATAACCGCACTGTTAAGTGGTGTGTGAAACACGGAGTGAATTCAACTGGTTTAAATGTCGACATGACAGACGTGTTCTTACCGACTGTTGCGACGCTGCTGCGGTGGTCGGGGACTGACTGGAACAGGTTCAGTCTTTTAGAACGAAAAAGTCCCCTTCAAGAAGAAAGGACCGCTTTAAACACATCACCGTGGCAACACTGTCCTCCTTTGAGGTACAAGTCATGTCGTTTACCTGTGTTTAGGAGCGTCCTGTTCAGGTCTGACTCCTGTCTGTGCGTATCCAGGAACGCCTTCGTCATGATGGATCTGCTCAACCGTCCTCGTGTTCTGACGCTTGGGGTCTGTCCCTATTTTCCTCGACGAACACTACGCTAAAAAAACAAAACAAAATCAAGGTAACATCAGTGTTTAAGAATAAGGATTATAAGGTCTCACAGTAACGTTAGGTACACTTGTATGTGTGTATGTATAAATACGTCTCACAGTAACGTTAGGTACACTTGTACACTATGTGTGTATGTATAAATACACGGGCTGGGTATTGGCCAGAATCTGTTGATATGTATCACAAGACAGGGGCAACGATACGATATATTAAGATATACAGCGATACTACAGTCAACTGTAGTCCCAGTGTGATCCTAGTCTCAGACTCTGTTCCATCTGAACATCAGTTTCTAACTCTGGAACAGAGGGATCTACATTTGGAATCACTAGAGAAGAAAGAAAAGAACAAGAACATGAACCAACACCAGGAATATTGGACTGGGAGTTGGGGAGAAAAAAAAAATCAATAACTGATCAATGACTGAGGAGATTGATACGGGATCAGGAGAGGAGATGTTGTGTTATTACAGTATATGGATATTTTCTTACACCACTAATATGTACATGTGCACATTGCGTGTCCACGTACCTCAGGTTGTTGACGTTCCCTCTCTTCTGCCCCTCAGTGACCAGCTCATTCTCCTTCAACTGCTTCAGCAGCTCGTTCAGGGCCTGATTGCTGTTTGGTAGAGTGGCAGCAGCAGCAGACGCAGCGGAAACTACTTTTGGATCCAGAGTTTCACTAAAAACACAACGGAGAGAAGCTGGAGTTATGAATGATATCTGTCAACGGAGAGAAGCTGGAGTTATGAATGAGAATGATATCACAACAACCAGAAACTATAATCTAACCCCCCCACCCCCAGGAGAGAAGCTGGAGTTATGAATGATATAAACACAACAACCACAACAACAACCCCCCCCCCCCCCCCCCCACACACACACACCTCTGTGTTGAGGCGTCTACTACGGCGTTCCGGTACATCTTGGAAATGCTCTCCAAATGGACTGGCTTGGGTTTGGTGCTGGGCTTTTCACTGTTTGGCCTTGTTGAATGTCTTGGTTTCCTCTTGGTGGTGATGTCCACCTTAATGGAACTAAGAAGTTCCAACAGACCCTCCTTTCCACTCTTGGGTGTTTTTGTGTGTACTTTTTGCGGCACCGACACGTCACGTTGGACTTGGTTCTGATCAGGTCTGGTGTCCTCTCCATCGCTCTTCAGGATCTCTGTGTCCTTGTTCTGTTCAGCCGTTGTTACGGTGATTCCATCCTCCTGAGGTTTTTGTTCAGCTACGGTGGAACTTTGGGTTGAGTCAGACTCGACGTTTGAACTTTTCCCGACCTTGTTACTTAAGGTGCCATTGTTGTCTTTATTTTCACAAAACCAAGCAGAACTTGTGCTGAGAGTTTGGACTCCACCTCCATTTGGAAACCTATTTTAAAAGCACACAAATAAATAAACACCGTTAGAGAAGCAGCATTTATAGACAATTTAATGACAATTTATAAGTTTACTGTGCTGGAAAATAATAAGTGTACTATTTTTCTTTTTAAAACAAAATTTAACTGCTTCTCTGTAATGTAACATGCACGTTTAAATTCATGTTTACTTGCTACAACAATTAATGGATATTTATTTTGTTCATCGTCCACTCACCTAAAAACGACACCTCGGTCACATTTAAATAGCGAAGCATTCGCTGATTGAACAGCTCGAAATACAAATCTATTCATTTCGGCTTCTTTCAGTGTCCTTCCACGTTCCGGACATTTGTCTTTGGTGCTACACAGTTAAGTGACCCCAGTTCTTACGATGCTAACCTTGGTTCCGTTGTATGTTGTTTAAATTTAAGTCTTACTTCACCATATTGATCTATTTAAATTATATCACATATGCGTTCAAGAAATTATTTTTAATAATGTTTATAAGGCGTACTCGTATCATTTCAATGGACACGGAGCCGTTTTGTAGCACTTTAAAAAGCTAAATCTCGCGATATCACAAGAGGAACGTGATTCAAAATGGCGTAGCGATACAAGCGCTAATTCACGAACCTTCTCTCAGCTGCAGTCCACGAATTAGTTACTTTTATTATCGAGAGATGGATATTCAAAGAAAAGCGTTAGCTTTTGGCAATTATTATTTTTGTATTTTTCACCACTGACTGTTTTTATCCGTTCAGCATTTCCGGTTCAACTCGAAAAGAGAGAACAACTTTGTACAGGTAAAAATCATAACGGAAGCCGAGTTAGTAGCATTCAAGCTAATTCTCTGCAAATATGGCAAATGGCTCTAAGTTTATTTCCAATGAATATTACGGATTCGGAGTCTAAAAAATGACCGGCTTATGAGCGTGTTGTTTTAATGGAACATTTATTCGGGTTAGACACTTTTAAAAGTGGATTTCGTATCTGTTTTGATTGTGATATTCTGATAGAATGGTAACCCGCTCTCTTTTGAGCTCCGTTTGTTTACACACATGTCATGTGTAGCAAAACAATTTTATTTATCATTTTTTAATTTTTAATATAATTGAAGAAGATAGAAAGTTGCTGTTTGCCGACCTATTTTCAAACGATTTTAGAACAGAAGTATTATCTCTTTAATTTACCTGTTTTACGTCGTGGACCGATTGACAGGAGCCGCGGCATTCTGTCACTGGATAGAAAATCTTTTAATTGTCGAAGTTTTTCACTCATCATAAGAAATGTATATCCTTAAAGTACTTGCGAATTCTAATCACGTATTTCACTGCAGAAGCTCGACATTTGTCAATACAAATCACTGTTTATCAGTGCAGATCTGGGCTTGCATCTATGTTTTTAAATAAGATTGAACGTCGCACAAATAGTTATATTTTTATATATTTCTACAGATGAAGTAACATCATGTGTAACATGTATCACGTATTTGACGACTAGTTAATATTCCAGCTTAACACTTTTTGACAACTTTTTGTTTGTTTCTATAAAGAGAAGATAAATGCATATTTGTTTCTATATAATGTGTACATTTATCTTTACTTTGTGCTTTTCAATGTAATTTTGATAAAATATTTTCTCTAATTTTCCTAAAATGTGCCATGTGTTTACTGAAAATATTAGGATTTAGATTTAACAGATGAAAAGCTGCTAAATGTATGTAAATGTCTTTATATATAGGGGTTAACTGCTAATAAATATAAAATATACCTTTGTTCCAGTTTTATTATGTCATCAGGTATTGCATTAAATAGGGAAATAATTTTGTTACGGTAAAAAAAAACATTTTGTGACATTTTACTGACAGACAGAACGGTCAAAGTGATATATATTCACATTACAAATGTAATACTTTCTATGTTTGGCAACGAGCAGGGGTTCATTATTACATCATTAAAGCAGAAACAGTAGCAAAGGGAATTAAAGATTTATATTAGAGAACACAGGCTGAGTTTCATTATGTCCAAATCACAGACCCTGGATGTATCTAAATGAATGTATCTAAATGTGTGTGACAGCCATGGCGGAGGAACGACGGCAGAAGCAGTGCTCAGTCACCCTGCCCACAGAGTCCATGAAGGCCATGGCCGAGTCAGTGGGTGTGGGTCAGTTACAGGAGGAGAGCTGCCTGGCCCTGAGTGAAGAGGTCAGCTACAGGATAAAAGAAATAGCACAGGTAAAACAGTCATGATTCAAACACACACACACACACGCACATTAGTAAAACAGTCATGATTCAAACACACACGCACATTCATTTGAGCTGAATGTTTGACTTCCTCTCTCTCTCCGATGTCTTGAACCCAGGATGCTCTCAAATTTATGCATCATGGGAAACGGCGTAAACTTACTACCAGTGATATAGACAATGCTCTCAAACTAAAGAATGTAGAGGTAAGCAGTTTTTTTGTTTCTCACTCTGATTTTACTCTGCTGGTCGATACTATTTCCTGATCTCTGTCTGGGTTTTTTTTTTCTCCGTAGCCACTGTATGGATTCCAGTCGCAAGAATTTATACCTTTCCGCTTCGCTAGCGGTGGTGGAAGAGAGCTTCACTTTTATGAAGAGAAGGAAGTCGACCTTAGTGACATCATAAACACTCCACTTCCCAGAGTTCCATTAGACGTGTCCCTTAAAGGTACCCACGTGCTCCGTATTCCATCCTATTGTCAATGACTCGCATCCGTTGAATTCTTACATTTTCCAACTGTCTGTTGATTGGCAGCTCATTGGTTAAGCATTGAGGGCGTGATGCCCTCTATTCCAGAAAACCCACCGCCAGGTGAGCTCGGTTTAACATTCAGTCTGAGCACACATATGTTTTTAAAGCTCAAACTTGTTATTATGTAACAACTGAGTGTCATTTTTATCGTTTCAGCTACAAAAGAGCAGCAAAAGACTGAATCTACGGAGCCGCTTAAAGTGGTCAAACCAGGACAAGAAGAAGAAGATAGCATTCAAGGCAAGGGTCAGGGAGGAAACGCTAATGAGGGCAAAGGTCAGTTTATTCAAATTCTTTTTCTTTTATTGTTTTTTTTTTTTGCCAAGTAAGAAACAATGTTGTTGTTCTTGTTTGTAGGAAAAGAGAAGGGTCTTATACGGCTGAAGCCTCGCAGTACTCACGAACTCTCTGTGGAACAGCAGCTCTACTACAAGGAGATCACGGAAGCATGTGTTGGTTCATGTGAAGCTAAAAGAGCTGTGAGTCTGTTTTTATGTGACAAGATTAAAACCTGATCATTCAGATTCAAATGCCACTTTGGACCCGTTGGTTCTGACGTTCTTCTTCTGCCCTGCTGTCACTCAGGAAGCTCTGCAGAGCATTGCCACCGATCCTGGACTGTATCAGATGCTTCCAAGATTCAGCACGTTTATTTCTGAAGGAGTGAGCGTCTTCTTACACTTCAGTACCACATCTGCTCTGTGTTCTCTGTAAACACTGACCTCTGCTCTCCTGACAGGTCCGTGTCAATGTGGTCCAGAACAACCTGGCTCTGCTCATTTACCTCATGCGGATGGTGAAAGCTCTGATGGACAATCCAACTCTGTACTTGGAGAAATACGTGAGTGGAGGAGACGAGTCGAAGCAGTCTGGTCCTCCACCCTCGCTTTGATCCTAATGCTTTTCTCTCCTGTGTCTGTTCAGCTGCACGAACTCATCCCAGCCGTGGTCACCTGTATCGTGAGTAAGCAGCTGTGTTTGCGGCCGGACGTCGACAACCACTGGGCTCTGCGTGATTTTGCCGCTCGCCTCATGGCTCAAAGCTGCAAAACGTTCAGCACCACGACAAACAACATCCAGTCACGGATCACCAAGACTTTCACCAAGGTAAGAAAAGGCAACGGTTAATAAGTAACAGAAAACGAAATATGAATTTTCCAAGTTACGAGTCTGCAACTATTGTAAGATTAGTAAGGAAACATCAAGTTACGAGTGCTCACCCAGCTCCAATTTTCCACTCGACCTTCTGGGACACTCTATTTACACATTATTTTTTTCAAGTTTCACGTAATAATATAAAGAATTTCCTTAATTATTATTATTTTGTATTATAACTATATGTAATTATAATAATTACATTATTAATAATATTTTTAATGGGGAAATGTACGAGTTCTGTTGATGAACGGATTAAACTTGTATCTCGAGGCCACACTGTAATAAAATATTAATAACAACATAATTAGAACTAAAACTAATTACAGTAATTTTAGTAGTAATTACCACTGCTTGACCTGTAACTCATGTGATAAACAGTACTTGACGTACACGACATATTTTCCTCAGAGTTGGTTGGATGAGAAAACCCAGTGGACGACACGGTACGGCTGCATCGCTGGACTTTCAGAACTGGGACCTGATGTGAGTCTGAGTCAAAGTGACCTTTTCTCATTCTTAACTTCTTCATTCTGATTCTAATTGGATTTATTATTCATCTTATTATTATTAGTGTTTATTCTGTGAACTTGTGATGAGGTCAGTGGGACACTAATCGTCAGTGAGGCTGGTTGTTGTGATTGTGATGGACCGGTGTGATTCACCTGAACACAACACTCACAGCTTCAGTTTAATTTCATTTAATTTTCATCATCCTTAGGTGATAAAGACGTTGATTCTTCCTCGGCTTGCTGTAGAGGGCGCTCGCATCAAAGCAGTGATGGAAGGACCAGTGGTGTCCAATATTGACAAGATCGGAGCCGATCATGTCCAAAGCCTCTTACTGGTAACAAAACAAGACGCTCATTTCTGACTGTTCGTGTCACATTCTGTTGGTTTTTATTAACACGCAGCTTGTTTTCATTTGTGTTTTGAAGAAACACTGTGCCAGTGTCATAGCCAAGATCCGACCGCAGCCTGACCTGGTGGAGCAGTTCCGGACAGACTACGGTTACCTTGGACCCATGCTGTGTTCCCATGTCGTGAAAGCCAGGACTCAGGCGGCCCTGCAGGCTCAGCAGGTCAACAGAACCACGCTGACAATCACTCAGGTAGGAAGTCACATGGTTTGGTGTAGAGAAAATGCAGACGAACAGTGACATCTATTGGTCAGAGACAGAAACTCAGCTGCAGGAAGGAGTTTCATTTCTTCTAAAACAGAAACATTAAATCTCCTGTAAATGTGACCTGATGTTTGTTAATGAGCGACGATTGTTTTTTTTATCGTTCACCCTCCGCAGCCTCGTCCCTCGCTCTCCGTCTCACAGAGTGGACTGAGTGGCTCCACGGGGCCTCGAACTCCCAGCATCATCAAGGTTCCCAGCTCCCTCACCCTGATGTCCCCCAGACCAGGGACTCCATCACAACCGTCTCCACCTGCTACAAAGTACATCGTCATGGCAACCAGCGCAGGAGCAGCCTCAACTCAACAGGTACTGATTTAAGAATTTTAAGAATTTTATGTCCTTCACTCTGTCTCTGATTGGTTGATGTTTAATTACACTGAAGCTACACTGCTGTTTAAGGAAACAAGAATTTCACTAGTTTTGCTAGTTATAGTACTTGGTTGTGTGTATAACTAGATTCTACTGAAGACACACAGTTTTCACCCGTACTGAAAGAGATAAACAACATTGAACCGTGAACCTCATTAATGAGGCCCAACTGTGGAAAGATAACCACAGTCAGGGTTTGTGTCCCTTTGTCATTGCAGTAGTCACTACATTACAGCAGAGGGCGCTGTTTTGGAAACTGAAAGATATGAAACAGTTTACAAGATTCCAGATGTGAAATAGTTTCTCTCTCCATGATGTCATCAGATGAACTCACCACAAAACTTAGGTTGATTTTTTTTTTTTTCTCATCCCTGTAGGTCATCACCCTCAGCACTTCCCAGTCAGCGTCCACCGTGACCAGCACGGTTCCCAGCGCCTCGTCCACCTTACAGCCTTTGGTAAAACTGGAGTCCAGCGGTGGCCCTGGACTGACGGGGTCACGACCTATGCAGAAATACATTGTCGTTTCCCTGCCTTCGTCTGCCTCTTCTTCTCTGGAGGCCAAGAGCTCAGTGTTGACAACGTCCATTTCCTCCAGCCAACTGGACGCAGGCATGAAGATGGAGCGGTCCGAGTCTCCGGGAGCGAGCACGCAGTCGCCTCACTGAGGCCGTTGGAGGGAGTGCAGGTGTTTTTAACCATGTTGGTGCTGATGGACTCTCAAAGCGGTTTGTTGGGCTGGATTTACTCTGCACAGGAACCACCTCTGAACTGGTGCAGAACTTTGTAAATACGTTGGTGCCCAACAGGAACTGAAGTCAGTCTGTGAGACCTGCGATGTTCCAGCTTATTATTCTGAATGATTTCATGTTCCTTTTTTACTCTAAAATAAATAAGGTTTTGTAAGATTTCCTCTGATTTTTATCTTTGTGTTAACATTGAATAAATATTGTTCTTAAAATAGAGATTATTAACACATTTGTACTTTGAAGTGTCCTGTCTCTTTGTTTATTTAAACATTTAAACATCATGGGGTGTGTGTTGAAGAAAAGCATTTAAAAAAAAAGTCAAACTGATTTTGAAACTCCTCTCCTTCTGTGTCTGTGATGTGGAAGTCCACAGACCAAACTTGGAAGTTTTATAGGATTTATTTTAACCCGCAATAAAATATTATATAACTAATATAAAATATGTGAAAGTAATGTTGGAGCAAGGATGTATTTGTCGCAAACTACCATCGTGTTAAGTTATCATTTTAGGGGGTGGGGAATTTAATCAATAGTCGTTTCTGGTAGAAACGTTGATTAATTTTTGTTTTCTGTGTCCCTTTAGAGGCTCCGTATAATTTCAACAAGAATTTCAAGAAGAACAAAGATGGCTGCTGACGGACTCCCTTTAGAGGCTCCGTATAATTTCAACTTCTGCCAGAAGAACAAAGACGGCTGCTGACGTACCCAACCGACAGGGAACTCTGTCTGACCCCTTGTGGCCGAGTTGCTGACGTTTTTATTTTTTTTCCCAAAAGCCACGTTAATCCACTTAACTTTGTCACAACGTGAAACTTCAAGTTATTTGTTTTAATTATCAGTTATCGCTTGACAGCCATTCGTTTCTCGGCTAACGTTTACGGCTACTGAGTTAGCCTTAACGTATATTTTACCTTACACTTTTCGCAAACCTTTAAAACCATTTGTTATTCGCCCATTTTCACTCGTGTTTATAAATTTAGTTATTGATTGGGAAATATTTGTTTTACTGTAATCACTAACTTTGAGCAATTACTTATTTTTTTACAGGCTATTAAGCATTAATATTTGCTCGCGTTTTTTTACGAGTTTTAAATTAGGTTAATGTTTGTTTATAATGTGACGTTTGAGTTCAGTTTTTCTGTTCTGATCAATATGGACATCTACTGTATTTATCAAACTCCTTCAGGAGTTTAACATACGTCGTAAATTCAGTCATTATTCCGACCACTGGTTGGCGGTAGTGTGCAAACCACGACAATGTGATACAGAAGAGCAAGAGCCTCATTCATGGACAGAGATTGAACCGTTGTTTACATCCAAGTCGTTTCTTCTGTGAAATGGAATTTAAAATCCGCGCCGCGGCCAAAGAAGACTGTGAAGAAATCTTCAGGATGATAATGGTCGAGACTGACGCTGACGATTCTCCACTCGTTTTCACAGTAAAATTCACTTTCTCAGTAACTGACCTGTGAAATTTCACTCTTCACTTTTTAATGTCGTCTTTTCAGGAACTGGCAGTTTTTGAGAACATGCCGGACCAAGTGAAGATTTCACACCGAGGTGAATATTTAAGCTCGACATCACAGACAGAGATTCTGGGTTTATTATCAACAGTATCACTGTGATGGTACACGTACTGTAGTACTGTAGTACACATGTACTACTGTCTGATATCATGCTGCTGAAGCTTCTTGGTCTCAGTTGTTAATAACCAGCAGTCTGTGGAGTAACATCTGCTACAGGGTACTGTGATACTGTGTACTGCAGGAATATTTACATGTATACCATGATTAGTATTCTTTTTTAAACTATTTTTACCCCACATGGTTCATCAATATAATTAATGTTGAAAAAATGTAAATAAAGTCATGTTGAAATGCTGGTTCATGACTTTATTCTTTGGTTTTCTGTTTAGAACTGGAGAACCACGGTTTTGGCCCCAACCCTTTATTTGAATGTCTGGTTGCAGAGGTTCCCCAGGAGGAAAAATCCAAAGAAGGTGAACGTTGAAATGTAATGCAGTGACTCAAGTAAAACAGATGGAACAACTGATTTAAACTTTGTCGTGTTCTGTCCCAGGGCAGTGGACAAACATTCACTCATTAACTTAGTTTATTCATGAGTTAAACCAGAGCAGAGCAGTGACTCTGGTTTGTCCTCGTGTCTCACCTCGTCACAGGGTTCACGGTCGTAGGCTACGCCCTCTACTTCTACACCTACAGCACGTGGAGAGCTCGGGCGCTACATCTGGAGGATCTGTACGTGATGCCAGAATTCAGAGGTGAAACTTAAACGTTGACCAGGCTCAGAGAAAACGCCACACCGCGCGGACGTCTTCATTCTTCTTCTGTTCTCTCTGCAGGAAATGGCATAGGCAAAGGATTACTGAGCAAAGTGGCTGAGGTGAGAAGGTGGCGCCCCCAGTGGCGGCTGGAGTATTAGCACCACGTGACAGGTCCTGATCGGAGACCGAACTGTTTGTTTTTCCCTCAGGTGGCCAAGACTCAGCAGTGCGCTCGTCTGCAGTTGTCAGTGTTGGACTGGAACACGCCGAGCCGCGACTTCTACTCTGCCAAAGGAGCTCAGGACCTGACTGTCAGCGAAGGATGGCACCTGATACGGTTTGACGGAGAAAACCTGGACAACTTGGCAAAGGAGGCACCAAAGGATGGACGATGACTTCAAACACAGGCCTGTGTGTTTTCTTCCTTTGATCACACCACTGTAGACCTTTGTTCTTAAAGATTGATTTCATTGTCAGAACGACTTCATTCACTCAGGGGTTCACTATTATTTTAAATGATAAATTATTTAATCAAATGTGATTTTATTCAGTTGTTAAATTATGATTCCTTAAACACAAATCAAACTCTGGAAATATTTCTTAAAGTCTGTTGGTGTTTGTGAATGACGTTGACGAAAAGTGCGGGGTGTGTTACCGAGTGTATCCAGCAGGTGGAGCCTTTATACCAAGTACCACTCGTGCCTCCTATTTACCCTCGTGTGATGTAGTTTACGGTGTGTGTGGACGATGTGAAAAATGAGGGGGGGAAAAAAACGAGAGAAGAATAAAAACAAAATGATTGAAATGAAGATGATGAAGACGAAGCTGTGTAACCGAAACTCCTTTATTTCTCTTCCTCTACAGTCTGTTCATGAAAATCAAAGTGGTTTTATAGTTTCATTGTAGTAAAATATGACAAAGATACACATGATCATGCAGTACAAACCATCAGTATACTATACACTATATATACTATATCATAGTACACTTGAATTAAAACCATGGAGTGATTTTGTCTCAGTGTTTGATTCATTTCTACGACGTCTTAATGATATACATATATATATACACACACAGTGGATCAGTGAGGTCATAAGGTCAACAGTGTTGTAGCTTGTGTAATTAATCCTGGTGGTTGTGAATGACTAACTAATGATCTGTTGTGGAGCTGGTGAAGCTAAAAGGTGAAGCTAACAGGAAAGGCTAGCTTTTCAAAACAAACAGATAATAATAAAAAAATATATAAAAATACACTGGTTTTTCTTTCAGGTCACAAAAAGGTTGAATCGGAAGTCGACAACTTATGGTGAATTTGGTCGTTGATTAAATCCTTCCACCTCCATCAGACGTAAGCGTTCCTTCCGTAGTGACTCGGGACGACGGACGTTCCCGCGGTCGACAGCACGTGACCCCGAGAGGACGGTTGGTACGGATACGGGCTGTGACACAGAACAGCAGAACGTTAGCAGGAACATCATAGGCTCTAGACATTCATTGG